AATTTTAAAAAAATAATAAAAATAAAACAATAACTGCTCCAGAATCTCAAAAAAAAAAAAATCGTAACTTTTCAGTACTGTGTATATGGATGATGATATTTGAGGAGGCGGAACGAAGGTACCAAGGCATGTACTGGGGAGTCAGAGGACAGTTTCATGAGTTGGTTCTCTCTTTCAGCTCTGGGAATTGAACTCAAGTCATCAGAATGCACAGTCAACACTTTTGGGAGTCAACACTCCCAAACCCTGGCTTTTCTATATACTTTTCAGAAATGAAATTTTGAGTATATTTATATTATTACAGTGAGAAAAACACACAGTGACAAATTATATAGCCATTTTGTTAATTCATTAAATGTTAAAAATGTTAAATTCTTTAATTTTTCTTCTTATATTCACTTTTTCTAATAGTCAATGACTAATAATCATGGTTGGATGAATTATTAAACATATTCATATCTCAAAACAAAAAAAAAAGACCAAAAAACAAAAAAAGATTTATTTGGGGCTGGAGAGATGGCTCAGTGGTTAAGAACACTGGTTGTTCTGGTAGAAAACCGGGGTTGGAATCCCAGCACCCACATGGCAGCTAACAAATGTCTGTAACTCCAGTTCCAAGGGATCTGACAGCCTCTTCTGTCCTCTGCAGGCGTTGCACAACACAAGTGCACTCACCTACATGCATACACATAAAATAAAAATAAAAAATAAAATATAAAAAACTTTAGGGATTCCTGGGAATTGAACCTAGGGACACTTGCATGCTAGGCAAGCACTCTGCCACTAAACTACAGCCTCAGTCCTAAGAAAGTTTTAACCCTGGTCAAATCTTGGCAGGTTCATTGCCCTCACTAAAGCTCTCTTGGCCCATCCCTAGAGCTGCTTCTCACGTTTGCTATTTCCAGGGCTCAATCGTTTTCAAATAGCTTAGAATTATTTTCTACTGTGCTTTGTTTTTGTAGTACTGAGGCTCAAACTTCATTTTATAAACTGTCACCAGAAATTTTGGGTAGTCTCACATTCCCTGTGACTTGGACTACAGGACATGCAACACAGTGACCTAACAGTCTCCCAGACCTGCACTTACCTCCCCAGTACCACACTTGCAAACACTGACAAGTGTCTCAACAGAAGCATGTCTGTTCCTCCTCAAAACAAAATCAGCTTTCTGAAAACCCTCAAATTTGGGATACTCTGTATTTTGTTTTGTTTTGGTTTTTTTTTTTAATTTTTTTATTTTGTGTGTACGAGTGTTATTCCTGCAAGGGCACCATATTGTGTAGTACACCTGTGTTGTGCATGCCTGCGGAAGACAGAAGAGGGCATCAGATCCCCTGGAACTGGTGTTATGGACGGTTGTTAGCCACCATGTGGGTGCTGGGATTCAAACCCACGTCTTCTGCAAGAACTGCCAGTGCTCCTAACTGCTGAGCCATCTCTCCAGCCCTACTCTGTATTTCTTACGTTCCTAAAAATAGAATTATAGATTATGACATTGTTATGGATTTTAAATTAGTAATGTTGGACATACTTTCAAAGGATAAGCCATGTGCCCTTCCATGTTATTTTTGGATTTTAGGATTTTTCTCACAATTTTAATGATTATATAGTTTTGTCATAAATATTATACAATACACCAGTCTTTAATTTTTCTGTCTGCAAACGTTAAAAAAAAAAATACCTTTTTTTTTTTTTTGGTCTTTTTGAGACAGGGTCTCCCCATAGCCCCAGCTGGCCTGGCACTCACTACATAGACCAGGTTGCCCTCGATCTCATAGAGATCCGCTTACCTCTGCCTCTCTAGTGCTGGGACTAGAGGCATGTGCCACCAGCCCTTGCCTCAGCTTTTTGAGTACTGGAATTGCGGATGTGTGTCACAGCAAATGTTCTTAATTTAATTTTATAATCTGGATATGGTGACTTCTTGCTCCCTGGCCCTACTGTAGTCAAAGATACATAACCATTTGAATATTTGAGATGCTCTGGGAAACTTTCTTTTCTTTTTTTTTGGTGTTTTTGAGACAGGGTCTCTCTGTAGCCCCAGCTGTCCTGGAACTCACTATGTAGACCAGGCTGGCCTTGAACTCACAGAGATCCACCTGCCTCTGCCTCTGCCTCCCGAGTGCTGGGATTAAAGGCGTGTGCCACCACACCCCACACTCTGGGAAACTTTTAATTATTTGGCACAGCTAAATATTTTTTGTAAATTTCTTCTCCAAATACCAGTTATGTAATCTAATCTTTGGCTATCAAAGGCTTGTCTACCCTTTGTAGCCAAGCACAAGCTGAAGTGCCCTCTCCACTGACAGATAAGGGGTACAGATCTGAGAATTTCACTTATCCCCATCTTCCTTTATTTCTATTGAGGATGCAAAATCTACTTTAGTATTATTTGGCTTTGCTTCCCTTTTGTATCCTCAACATCATTTTTCACAATTATTTCAACTAAATCTAAACTAGTACAGAAGAGATACTTAAAAGGTAGCATATTTGCACTCTCGGTAAGAGAACTTGAGGTTGGACAGAGATGTCATAGTTCCCTTTGGTTTGCAATAGCCTGCTTTATCCTCCATTGGAGAGAAGCTAGGTTTAAAGTTTTTGGTAAATTACACACACACACACACACACACACACACGTTTTTGGTAAATTACACACACACACACACACACACACACACACACACATACACACATTTGTTTTTTGTTTGTTTGAGTTAGGGTTTCACTCTGTAGTCCTGGCTGACTTGGAACTTGCTATGGAGATCAGGCTGCCCTTGAACTCGAGAGAGCTGTCTGCCTCTGCCTCCCGAATGCTGGAATTAAGGTGTGTACCACCATGCCAGTTGGCAAATTATGTTTTTGTAAAATGACATAGGGCCTTCCTTAGAGAGCCCTTATTATTTCTAACTCGTTTAATATTTAAAAAAGTTTTGCTCTATCCTTTAGTTTTTCAGTACCTTTTCTAAATTCCTTTATTTTACCCCATCTTCTCTTTTCTTCCTAATGCCAAATCTTTGTATTTTCCAAGTCCCAACCTAGCTCAATGATCTTAGCAAGTTCTAAAAGTCCTTTCAAGACACCCTGAAGAGGCTGATGATGTTTAAAGGTATTGCAAATAAAGCAGAGCTTCAAGCCAACTAATGGTCATTCACTGCAGAACAAAACATCCTCATCTTAAAATTTAGTTTTGGTCGCTGGATATAGGTAATACACTTTATAATTCAGTAAATTCAGATTAAATGAGTACAGTTAATGCCATATAAATTTAAATGTCAACTTCTGAGGTAAAAGAATAGAAGGAAACAAAAATCAAGACTGTTGTACTCCTTAATTTTTTGTTGCTGTGACCAAATACCTGTCAGAAGTAGCTTAAGGGAGGAAGGACTCGTTTAGGCTTCCAGTTGGGGAGGGCATAGCCATCCTGGCAAGGAAGGCACATGACTGGGGCCACACTGTGATGGCAGGACTCTGAGGATGCCGCTCCTCATATCTTGGCAGATCCACAAGCAGAGAGCACCAGCTGGAAACAGAAACGCATTATCACCTTCAAGTCACCCCCAGCAAAGCACAACAATCTCACTGACTTCTAAAACAGCACCACCAATTGAGGCCCAAGTATTTAAATACATGAGCCTGAGGGACATTCCACATTCAAACAGTAATAAAAGGCATTCTTTTTTTTTTAATATTTTATTATTTTTATTTTATGTGTATGAGTGTATTGCCTGCATGTATGTGAGTGCACCCATGTCATGCAAAGCCTTGGAGGTCAGAAGAGGGCTTCGGATTCCCCTGCAACTGGAGTTAAGGACAGTTCACGGTCACCTTGTGGGTGCTGGGAATCAAACCTGGGTCCTCTACAAGGGCAGCCAGTGCTCTTAATCACTGAGCCATCTCTCCAGCCACTAGGCATTCTTAAATACAGTGTCGTAGGGGAGGTGGTTTGCAGTGACACAAAGCCAAACTGCCTGGGTCTGAATGCAGCTTCATCCCTCACTGAATACTCTGTTTATGTCTTATCGTTTCCTCTTCTCAGCTTCCTCATCTGTAAAGTGAAGAATAATTTTTCCCACGGAGGGCTGTTACAAAGATTGGTTTACAAAAAGCACTTAGGTCACTGTCTGACAACAATAAGCACTAGATAAATGTCCATTAACATTACTCCAAATCATAACTGAATAGGTCACAGCTACCAGAAACAGAAGTGGGGGGAGTTAAAAAATATTTATGATTTTTAAAAATATATTTTTATTTTATGTGTATGTGTTGTCTGCATGTATGTAAGTGCACTCATGTCATGCAGTGCCCAAGGAGGTCAGAAGAGGGCATCAGATCCCCTGGGACTTGGGTTATGGGCAGGTTAGCCACCATGTGGGTGCTAGGAAATGAATCCGGGTCCTCTACAAAAGCAACTAGTGCTCTTAACCACTAAGTCATCTCTCCAGCCTGGCTTTGTGATTTTTAAAAAATTATTTGTATCGCCAGGCACACACCTTTAATCCTAGCACTTGGGAGGCAGAGGCAGACGGATCTTTGTGAGTTCAAGGCCAGCCTAGTCTACATAGTGAGTTCCAGGACAGCTGGGACTACGAGGAGACCCTGTCTCAAAAAAAAGACCAAATAAAGAAATTATTTGTATTTATGTGTGAGTACATGTGCCTAGAGACCATTTTGAACTATGTGAAGTGGGTGCTGGGAACTGAACTCAGCAAGAACAGTAAATGTTCTGAACCTCTGAGCCATCTCTCTAGTTGCTGTCCCCACAACTATTGAGAACCTTTTTTTGTAGGCTTTATTTGTGATTGTTATTTAAAGTGATAGCTGTGAAAGACTGTCAAAATATCTGACCTTTTTAAAAGAAATAACATATTTGAAGGTAATACAAAGAAGATAACAGAAACCCAGATATAAGAAGGAAAGAAATCTATGAGCTCATAGATATATTCATATGCCAAGGCAGCCAAGCCTGTTCCAGGAGCTAACTGGTTTTGCTTGCTTCATTCTGCTGAGTACACTGGAGTTTCGAGAGTGGGAGCAAAGTACACGGGGCCATGCCCCAGAAAAGACTACATAATCTCTACCTCTCTATGTTCATGGCCAATTCACAGACATTTAATATAGTCTGACTTTTACTAGATGTAACTGACATGAATGGCCTAAATGTTTATTACATATCTAGTACACTTAAAAATAATTTTTAATTACACTTCTGAACAAGTTTAGCTTACATAATACATTTTTATTGTCTAGTCATAAATTATGGCAGCTTTAAAATGGAGACTAATTACACACACAGAACTTAAGAATCAGCAAGATCTAGTGGAGTAAACAGAAGCTTGTCAGATGCTGGGTTTTGAATCCTGCTTTGTACATCTGCCCATATGAAGTTGCACAAGTCATTGAATCCTCTAAGCTAATTTCATCATCTAGGAAATGGGGGCAGTAATGACCTTGAAATCTTGCAACAATTCAGTTAGTGCACCTAGTAGGTACATGTAAAATGATTACCAAGAGAGTACATCATAGGCAGTGGTAACCCTCAATCAGTTTAGTGACTAATAGTAATTGGCTATTAATTCTATGGTGTTGATACCTTTAGTGTGGTAAAGGGAGCCTCAATTGGGGAACTGCCTCCATTGGACTGGCCTGTGGCCATGTCTGTGCGGCATCCTGTTGATTATTGAGTGATGTGGGAGGGCCCAGCCCACTGTGGGTGGTTCCACCCCTGTGTAGGTGGGCCTGTGTTGTATAAGAAAGCAGGTTAAGCACCCACTAGGAGAGCAAGCCAGTACACAGTAGCGTTCTCCCATGGTCTGTGCTCCGGCTCCTGCCTCCAGGTTCCTGCCCTGAGTTCCTACCTTGGGCTCCCTGATGAACTGTAAGCCAAATAAACCCTTTCCTCCCCAACTTGGTATTGGTCAGAGTGTTTTATCACAGCAATTGAAGGAAAACTACAATATATGGTAACTCAATTTCAAAATATAAGACTTCGAGATTGTCCTTAGTATCATAATGAAAACATCATTTATACAGATACAAAACAGACTGACAGGCCTGAAAATTTTCCCTCATTCTATGGTAAAAATCTTCCATAAATATTTGTACTCAGGTGACTAAAAAGGTATGATTGGGAAACTATCATCTAACTGGAAAATTTTTAATTTTTAAAATTTATTTGTATTTTATGTGTGTGAGTGTTCTGCCTGCATGTAAGTGCACCACTTGCAAGCAAATCCAGAGGCCAGAATAGGGTGTCAGATCCCCTGGAACTGGAGTTATGGATGGTTGGTAGTTGCCATGTGGGTGCTGGGAACCAAACCCAGGTCTTCTGGAAGAACCTTCATCCCCTTAATTGGAATTTAAGTCCAGTTTCCTAAGATTTGTGGAACCCCCAGAAAATCTACAGTATGGGAACCAAATCAGGGAAGAGAATTTTGAGCCAGGTTAATTCTGTCCGGCCAGGATGGTATCTGAAGGGATGAAATCCATCACGGAAGGATGACCTAAGTGAGGAGGGAGGTGACAAGTGACCACCACCAAGGCGGTCTACGCGTAGTCAGGAAGCAGCCAACCATTTCCCTGGGGGACCCGGTAGCCTTCCCAGTCTCCCAGGATTCCCTTTGCTCTTCTAGGAACCCCCGTTGCACCCGAGCCCTGTGAATGGAAGTGACTGATCAAAAGTCGCTCTGAGCCAGCGACATGCCTCAGCAGGAAAGGCAAGCCTGACGACCTAATTTGATCCCCGGATCCCACGGTGTCCACACACGCACCTGCAGTCACACATACGTCACACACAAAAATAAGTAGAATTTTAAAAAATTCGCCCTCCGGTCCAGTCCCCGCTCCAGTGGACTCCTCGAGGGGTGGCCACTGGCACTTCCGGGTCTGTGCAGCAATAAGGCCCAGCGATGCGCTGCTCCGCACAGAACTGCTGCCAGACCTTGGACCCTTTGTACATAACAGTGCAATCAACAGGCGGGGACTATCTAGGTAGAATGACAACGAATTCAGAACCCTGGGGGTCATTTTTATCAGCTCCCCTCCCACCAAGCGGATCTGCTTCAGTCAGTCAATCTGCCCACAAAGATAATGGCGTAGCAGCAGTGTACAGCCCCCAAAACCCAGCTTCCGTCAGCTGATGGAGCGCGCCTGAGGTCCCAGCTGCTCCAGAGGGAGAGGCGGGAAGGACAGCAGCCGGAAATTCCGGACCAGTCTGGGCAGTACAGCCATACCCTGTCTAAAAAACAAACAAGACAAAATTACAACATGTGATAGCCCGATATTCCCGACCAGCAGACACTCCGACTCACCTGTCTGCGTCGGGAGTCAGCGTCCAGAACAGACGCTAACTTGCCCAAGGCAGAAAACCTACAGAGCACGCAGACTCATAACACTTCCCACCTCCGTCCCGCCTGCATCGCCCCACCCCCTTATAAAGGCCTCTGGCCCGGCCCACCTCCCAATTCCCGCCCTACCCCGCCCTCTCTCCCTCACCGTCCTTTAGGTTCCCGGCCCCTTCCTTTCCCCTACCGTCAGGCCCTCCCAGCCCCGCCGGCCTCCCAATCACCGCCCCTTCCCGTAATTAAGGCTCCTGGCCTCTCCCTCTCCCTATCAAGCTGGCCCCTAGTCCTGCCTACCTCCCAAGCACCGCCCCTCCACATCCTTCAGGTTCCGGACCCCGCCCCCTCCCCCTTCCGGGAGGCGTTTAGCCCCGCCCACCTCCCCCAATTAACGCCCCGCCCTCTCCCTGTCCTTTAGGCTCCTGGCTCTGCCCTCTCCCCCGGCCCCGCCCCACCCCTCCCGATATCCTCGCTTCTCCCCCGCGGGTCTCGCCTCTGCATACGCAGCGCCTCCGGGCTCCGGGTGTCGCTGAGAGGGCTGCGAAGCTCCGGCGACCCTGCGGGCACTAGGGCGGGGGCGGAGAGGGCCGGGTCTGGACGACGCGGCTGTGGGTGGCGGCGCAGTGATCGCTGCGCCATGGCCGCGTCGGTGTGGTGCTGCCTGCGGTGCTGCAGGGACGGCGGGACCGGCCACATTCCTCTGAAGGAGATGCCGGCCGTGCAGCTGGACACGCAGCACATGGGTAAGGGCCTCCCTCCCCAACGGCCGCGGCGCCGGGGCCAGCGAGGGCCGCCCGAAGCCTCTGGCCCGCCTCGTGCGACGCCGCCGGACTCACCAGGGTCGGGTTCTGCTTGAAGATCGGCTGCTTAGGCCATCCCTAAGGCCCCGCGTCCGAGGCGGGGTGTGAACCTCAGCAATCTCCGCCCAAGTGTTGGGTGTTCCCAGGCAGGGGACAGAGGAACCTCGGTGCACGCCAGGTATCGCGTACTGTCAAACCTGCGCTTTTCTGCCCTATCATGTATAGGTTGAAGTCATTTCCTGACTTCCTAAAGCCCAGACAAGACAGATGGCAGCAGCCTGAAGTCACACCTCAGGTCATAATGCCACTTTCACTTCTCTCCCATCACCTGACTCCTTAGTCACTGTTGGAAGTGCTGTAATTTCACCTGACTCTCTTCCCACTGGGCAAGCTATTGCAAAATAAAATAGTGCTTTGCTCCTCTTGCCAAGTTCCCCGTGGTCTTATAATTTCTCATCTAACAGTCTTCGGTCCTCTTGTAGCCCTCTTTTTCCACATATTATTTCACTTTTTAGATTTTTCCTGTATGATTATTTCCAAGCCTGCTAGGCTACAGGGAGACCCTGTCTCAAAAATATATATATAGGGAATGTGGTGGGTTGAATGAAACTGTCCTCCATAGGCTCCAAGTATTTGGAGATTTTTGTCCCCAGATGATGGCGCTGTTTTGGAAGGTTTTAGAAGGTATGGCTATCCTGGAGTAAGCACGTCACTGGGGGTGGGCTTAGAGAGTTTTTAAGCCTTGCCAGATCTCCAGTTGCTTTGTTTCCTGTGCCTACTGGAAGATAGAGAGCTTAGCTTCTGCTCTTCTTCTCCAGCCACCTCTGCCACCATGCCTCCCCACCAAGATGGTGGGGAGGGGTAATTCCCCTGAAACCGTAAGCTCAAATAACTTCTTCCTTCTATAAATTGCTTGGGTCAGTGTTTCTATCGCAGCAACAGAAAAGTGACTAATACAAGGAATTTTGTAAATAGGTTTATTCTTTTATTTTTTATTTTATTTTATTATTTTTGTCTTTTTGAGAAAGAGTCTCCCTGGCCTGGAACTCACTATGTAGACTAGGCTGGCCTCGAACTCACAGAGATCCACCTGCCTCTGCCTCCCAAGTGCTAGGATTAAAGGTGTGCCCCACCATCTTTATTCTTTTAATTGTTAATTGGCCTTTTAGAAATAAATGCCATCCAAGGTAGCTACTTTGAAACGGATGCTACTCATTTGGAAATTTCTACTGTTTCTTAAAGCACATGTTATGGCTCTGTTTGTTGTAACTACTCAAATTTGCTTTGACTTTCCAAGTAGTAGCACTGATTAAGAAAACTACAAACTACATAGATCCAAACACAGTGTATCTTTGTACTTGGTACAGAGAAATGTTTGAAGTGACTCTCTTGTAATATCAAGCAAGAAGTATAGAGGAACACCACATAGTGATGGTTGAATCAAGAGTCCTTTAATAGGGGCTGGAGAAAGATGGCTCAGTGGTTGAGAGTACTGGCTGCTCTTGCAGAGGACCGGGGTTTGGTTCTCAGCACCCACATGGCAGCCAACAACCATCCATAACTCCATTTCCAGGGGATCCAATGCCCTCTTCTGACCTCTGTGGGCATTGCGTGACAGGTGCACTTACATGCAGGCAATATACTCATACACATAAAAAATAATTTTTAAAAAGGGGCCCTTTATGGGCTGGAGAGATGGCTCAGTGGTTAAGAGCACTGACTGCTCTTGCAGTGGACCCGGGTTCGATACCCAGCACCCACATGGTGGCTATGAACTGTCCTTAACTCCAGTTCCAGGGGAATCCGAAGCCCTCTTCTGACCTCCACACCATTGTACAACATGGGTGCACTCACATACATGCAGGCAATACACTCATACACATAAAATAAAATTAATAAATAAAAAATATATAAAGGGTCCTTTAGCCAGCAATCCAGGGGGATGATGCCCCAAAGAACTCTCAACCCTGAGGAGAGGCAGAGTGGGGTTTATAAAGCCTAAAACCACAATTACATCATGCCAGGGGCAAAGCTAATAACCATGGGTACATTAGATTACCATAATTACACCAGACCAGGGGAAGGTCAGTTAACAAAGAAGTTTCAGTTAACAAAACATTTCAGTTAGGAAAAACAAGTTTCTCAGAATTGCAGAAACAGACTCCATAGAGATGCAGGTATAGCTGAGTAGAGTGTTATCTTTCTAGTTGGCTGGCTGCAGTTAGAGGGATAGGGCAGCTAGGCAGAAACATGGTGAGCAAGAGTCAGCTAGAACAAAATGGAGTCAGTTTTGCCATTTCACACTAGTAATTTACAAACGCTTTAGAATGGTCTCTGACTATATTCCTTTCTGTATAAAATATCTCAGATAGGAAACGATACTAAAGTAAAAGTAATGACATGCTCAGAGCTGTTTCTATAGTTTCAACTCACAGAGCAGAACATTATTTCAAAAGTCTTTTCCATACTTTCATTAACTTAGTGCTTTAGGATGAAATCAAAGATAATATGTTACCTATTACAGAGGCAGGTCATTAGATGGGTTTGTAAGAGGACCATGTGTTCAGGATCTGAAGAATTCCCTGAATTGACCACTCAGACACTGAGTCTCAGTAAAAACACAAGCGCTTTATTGGAGCCAACTGGCTGGGGACACAGACAGTCTTGGGACCTGTACTGCAACCTGTGAAAATGCAGGGATTTTAAGAACAAAAACTGCAAAAACCACAAAGCAGGGGATTTCTATAGAAACCATAAACAGAAGAACCAGGAAAGGATTTGAACAATCTAGGGCTGATTTCCAGAGCCTTAACCTATACAGCCATTGGCTAGCTTACCTGGGGCAGAAAGTTCTTCCTCATTCTTCCTCTTCTGCCCCAGACCATTTCCATAGAAACCATAAACAGATGTACCAGGAAAGGGTTTGAACAATGGAGGGGATTTCCAGAGTCAGGCGGAGGGCAGCTCTTTCTCAGAGGACAGGGAGGGGTCTGAGGAGCACTCTCCTTCATTCCCCCATTTTGATTTTAGAAATCTTCTTGAATCAAACCATTGATTCATATATGTCATCTAGGGGATTGTAATGGGCCCTCATAACCATCAGTTGTACAGCGGAGACCCTTTGTTTAACAAACTTGACTAGAGCATTAAAGATACAGGTTCCAAAGGTTTTCAAACCAGGGAGCAATCTGAGGGTTAGGAGTCATCACCTCCATAATAACCTTCCCTATCTGTGTATCAGATAATTTCCAGACATAAGTCTGGGGCTGGTAGACTCTTTGGGGGGCCATCCCGGAGGGTAGAGTCAGCAGGAGCAGAGTCATAGTGACACCAGGGGAACAGGTGAATTGTCTTTTATCAATCGAAGCTTCAGGGGGTCTCCTGCATGATGTTGGACCTTCCATTTTTCTTGGTCAACCTGGGCAGGCTTGACATGTGAGTGATGAATCCAGGTACACAGTCTGTCCACCTTCACTGCCGTCCATGGGAGTCATCAGGGTCACAGTGAATGGTCCTTTCCACTGAGGGGCCAATGTCTCCTTCTGATGTCACTTTATCCAGACTGTGTCTCCAGGTCGGTAAGGATGTGGAGTAGCTGGAGGCAGTTCGTGCACATGCTGGATCAGGGGGTGGAGGTGCTCCTGTATAGCCTGTAATGCCCTAATAGACTGGAGGATTTCATGATTAGATATTTCATCCAACAGTTCTGACTTTAATCTTGGGACCAGGGGAGGGGGAGTCTTCTGAAAAGAATCTCAAAAGGAGTTATTCCCTGGATATAGGGGGAGTTTCTAACCCTGAGGAGGGCAAAAGGAAGGAGCGTCACCAAGTCTGCACCAGATTCTAAGGTTAATTTAGTCAAGGTCTCCTTAAGGGTCCGATTCATCCTCTCTACTTGTCCTGAACTCTGGGGATGGTATGTGCAATGTAGTTTCCAGTCTGTCCCCAGGGCCTTTGCTAAGGCTTGAATTACCTGAGAGATGAATGCTGATCCATTGTCAGATCCTAACACCAGGGGCACACCAAACCTGGGAATGAGTTCATCTAGCAACTTCTTGGCAACTGTGGTTGCCGTTTCCTTCTTGGTGGGAAAGGCTTCTACCCATCCTGAAAAAGTGTCTACAAAAGCCAGTAAATATTTATATACAAACCAACCCAGCTTTGCCTCAGTGAAGTCTACTTCCCAGAGGACTCTGGGGGCAGTCCCTCTTTCACGTTTTCCTGAGGGTTTATCATTTTTCGGGTAGACATTAGTCATCTGGCATGCCATGCATCTGGAGGTGATGTCTTATATAGTAGCTGTTGAAGGAAGAAACTGGAAGCATCTGGTCTTTTCTTTTCCCATGTGGGTTCCTTCATGAAGTTGGCAAACTAGCATTTCCCCCAGTTGGCCGGGGAAGATGACCTTTCCATCCGGAGTGAATCTCCATCCTGAGGAGACATACCCATTTGGAATTGCCTGGAAATATGTCATCGTCTGTATATGGGGGCTTTTCAGGTAACATACGATTTGGCAGGGCTAGGAGCACAGGTTTGGAAGGGGATTCAGCCACTTCTTTGGCAACTTGATCTACCTTTTGATTTCCTCAGGCCTCAGGAGTGTTATTCTTTTGGTATCCTGGGCAGTGAATAACTGCCACTCTTGGGCATCCATATGACTCTTAACAAATCAATGATCTCTTGTTTGTTTTTGATAGTCTTTCCTTCTGATGTCAGGAGGCCTCTTTCTTGATAGATGGCTCCTTGTACATGAACAGTGGCAAAAGCATACCTACTGTCAGTGTAAATGTTGACAGTCTTACCCTCTCCCAGTCTTAGCGCCTGAATCAAGGCTATCAGTTTGGCCTTTTGTGCAGAGGTTCCTTTTGGCAGGGCTTCCACCCATAGGACATCCTTCTGGGTGAGTACTGCCACCCCTGCATACCTGGCTCCATCTTTTATGT